AGCTTGAGCGATAAAAAACCAGAAGGATGACATCGACATTTAAATGTATTTTGGATGACTTGACCCGTCAGGATTCCAATAAAGAACAGATTCTTAGTAGAATATGAATCATGTAACAGAATCCATTTTGATAGAAGGTTATAGGATTGATCAGATATTTTCACAAATCTAGCAACAGCAGTTTCTACCCTACCCATTTATCTATTTCAATCAAATGATAAATTTCAAGGTAGGTACCTCCTTCTGGAATGTATCCAACTCAAAAGGAAATTCGATTGCCATGTCAGGAACTAGTTCATAAAACTGATCTGCAATCCATTCACTACCTCCACTAACAGCCCAAGCCTGTAAATAAATGTTTTTAAGTAACAAATCATTATTAATGAGGCCTACAACTTCTATTAAAAAAAAACAAATCATTATCAAAAGGGAATAAAATAAAGGTTGGATAGAAAGGAGAGTGCTCCATATGTGGCAACTTGTTGGAAACTGCCTTCTTAATTATTTTACCTCCTTTTGCTGCTGACCATCCCAATCACTGTTCTTATCTAATTTTTCAGATTCAACTGATAAAATCTCATCCAAAGCAGATGATCCAGTATCAAGAGTGTTGAGAACATCAGCTTGGTTTGCTTCAGTTTCTGACTTACCAGAGTCTGATTCTGTTGAATGCCCTTCTAGACAAGTTGCATTAGCAACAAAACAAATGGATTAAATGAACAAAAAAGAGAGAACAGAATATATCAGTTAAACAAAAACTTATGGGACCCTAGATTGTAAATCATACTTGAACATGAGTAAAATGCAAGTTAAATGTTCATTTACAGGTTAACAGTCCCCAGCATTTATTACTTCAGTAGACTAGCAAGCCAAAATGGCAGGTTGCAAGATTTTCTATCAATGACGTCTTCTAAGGGTGCAGGGTCACATATATTCAATATTGAGAAAGGTCAACCTTTAGCAAGGTAGAAAAAGATACAGTTTGATTTTTCATTAGCTAAACAAAAGCAACGCAAATATCTTCAAGTTCTTTCATACTTTTTTGCCCATTAGACCACAAATGTACAAACATCTGCACAAATGAAGAAAAAATAGTTGAGTGATGCATACCATCTTTTTCAAGTGGTGCAACATCCTCTTCCCAAGCTTTCATGAACAAGTCGTCAAATTTTACAGACAACTCACTCTGCAAACACCATGAAGATGGCAAGGCACAAATTATACATAAGTCATATAACCATTTTTCATAAATGTTTTTGCAGAAATTCACAGCGCATACATGATACTTGTATTATTTTCATGATATATACCAGGTTTAAGTTCATTCAGTCCAGAAAAAATATATATATATACAACCAAGGTCCATTAACGAATAGAAGGGTAGTAGTTTCAAGGGGATTACAATACAGCAATGCAAAAAAACTAACCAAATTTCCAACTGCTTTGTTATTGAGCGCACTTTGGTCCTTGTAAACATTCCATGAGCAAGGATGCGCCTACGAATTGGAGATGCAAAAGAATTAGGAAGAGAAAAAAAATTATGACCTTAAAGTTAAAAAAAGGAAATTCAAGTTCAATAATTTAATTAGAAGATGACCGTAAGATCACCAATGTTTAAACCTTGCTTAAAGCCTGGAGGAATTATCTGAGCAGGACCACCATTGAGCACCTCATGAACCCACTCACCATTAGCTGCACCATCAGGAAGAATCCTCTCTAAAGATTGATCATCCTCGCACAATATCATTGGCTCCACCACCGAACGTGCGTGGAAAAGAACCACGTCTTTCACCCCCAACTGTTATGTCTGATACGTCCACCTAAACAATATAAGATCCCAGTTCTTGTTAATAAATAAACAGAAGCTCCATGAAACCACTGGTTAATGTTAAAGCTATAAAAAGGAGACAAAAACTAAAGTATAGAATAAGCCCTTTTTGTTTTTCTTTCTCTCTCAAGTGACTAATAGGTGTAGCAATTGCAAATCATACCTGCATTGAATTAGGCTCCGACTTTCCGTCAGTTGATCCCTCCTTGCGTCGTCTGAAAGGTAATTCCCACACAGGAACTATTATACTTCTTGGCATTGATGGCTCAAATGGTATGCGTGCCCTGGCAAACCAGTCAAAATCCCATTGCTTTCCAACTTTTTCAGGAGAAAAAACATCCTCGACCAATCTTGGTAAAAGATATTTCTCCACTATATGCTCCTTAATCGATTCAGGTGTTTTCGCCGGAAATGCAGGTGGCTTAAAACACACATAAATATAAAACTATGTTACCACGAAACCCCAGAAACCGGCAAAGTAATACCGAACTTTAACCTTTTCGGCAACAAAAAAAACGGTAAAGAAATGTCAAAATCAAAAAACAGAAAACTGTTTGCATATGATAAAAGTGAAAAAAAAAAGCTTACGAGAACAAAGTCGGGGAGGGATTTGATAGGGTTATCACGCTCCTCGGTGTAGAGAGGCTCGACTCTGAGGTGGACTCTGTAGCCGGAGAATCCGACACGGAAACTGAAACCGTTTGCTGCTTGGATCGGTTTCATTTCCCCGTGGTGGGATGTTCCGTTGAATTAAACGCTTTGAAGGGCGGTTTAGTGTGTGGTTTTGATTCGAAAGCTTTTTCGAGGGTTTTGAGTGGAATCAAACAAGGGAAAGCTTAATTTTTTGAGTGCCGGTGAGTTTGTGCGCGTCTGCATTGAGAAGAGTTTGGGACCTTGGCGCCTTGTTTTTGCTGCCCAGACTCGGATGTAGGATTGTAAACGACACGCGAGTTACTTGATATCGACTCGATTAAGGCTGGATAAATATTCGGATTGAATAGAATCGACTCGACCTCGAGCTCGACTTGAGTTTTTAACGAGACGAAACGAGCTACTTGATATTCGACTCGAAAAATTCGTGAGCAGCTCGAAAATATAATATATTAATAATTTATTTTTAAAAAAAAATTATTAATAATATTAATATTTATGTATTGATTTTTTTAAATATAATAAAATTTTCATATATTTAAGGTTCATGTTCTAGTTTAAGGCTTCAATCGAGTTAAGTTTAAGATTTATTTTTTTATTACGAATCTTTTCGAGCTGTTAACGAGCTTCAGTTCAGGATTTCAAGTTCGAGTCGAGCTTGAAAATTTTAAATTCGCGAGTTTTCGAGTTGAGTTCATTTCAGAGTTTTCGAGTCGAGTCGAGTTCAGTAATACTCGAGCTCAACTCGTTTACACCCATACTTGGATGCAAGGGAAATTATTTATTTTTAAAGTCGTTTATATTTAGTTTGCGTTTGTTTATATTTTCAATATTTCTCAATAATTTTTAAAGTAAATGATTAAAAGTATTTAATTGATATTTTTTATTTTTTAGATTATAATACTTATTAGTAAACAAATTCCTTTTCTTCCTCTCTTAAATAGGAATTGTTTAAAAAAATAAATGATGAAATTATACTAGTATTCCTTAAGTTCTTTAGGTTTTACATTTTGAACTCTAAAGTTCATTATGTGTTCAATTTAGTTTATACATCCATTACTATTTAAAGTGTAAAAAAAGGAAATGAAAAACTAAATAAACAAGCTTTTAAACGAGCTTACTCTTAAATATAAATGAACCGAACATACATTTGCTCATGTTCGTTTGTTTATTAAATGTATACAAAATTTTTGTTTATACTCATTTATTTAACTTGATAAATGGATATAAACAAATATTATAAAAAATTTCATAAACAATTAGCTTAACGATATGTTGATTTATATCTCTACTAGAACTCTATAATCAGGTTTGAGGATAAGCAAGGGATGCATCTCCAGTTCCAAATAGTATGATTTCAAATTTAATTTTGCAGGTAACAATTTTAAATTGAAACTAAATATTGATTCAGTTAATCTTGAGCTGAAAATTTATTAAAATATTATTAAATTGAGACCAAGGGAAGAAAGAGAGCAAGTCCATTTATATGAGCGAAGAAAGTCACCGAATCCTGGTGTTGCAATGGAAGACTTTGTTGCTGAGGGAGGCATGATGGGAGTTATGATCAGTCCGAAAGTGATCGTTGAAACGGATAAAGACTCAGTTAATTAACTGGAGGAGATGTAAAACAAGAAGTTCGAGCAGGATGCAATGAAGATGTGGCCGAGGATGAGAAATGGGGTTGTTTTGGAGCTTCATGAGAAAGGGTATGATGTTGAGCGAGTGATTTTCTGTTGTTGCATTCAGGTTGTTAACCGTGTTGGATTGATATCTGTGAATCTTATTTGAAGATTGAGTTTGACATTGTTTAAAGAATCTAACGTCTTATCACGTTAGACCAACCAATAATTACTAATTTCAGTCTTGACATATATATTCTTTGAAGGGGTGGCTCTCAACTATGGAAAAGGATTTGCATGGTTTGGGTTGGGAGGATGTTCAACAAGGTTTAGTTTGAAATATTGGGAATGGAAATACAGTTGATTTCTGACATGATGCTTGAGTGGAAGATATGTGTTAGGTATGGCTACAGGGTTAATTATGTACCAGGTTTTTTTATTATAAATAGAGATGTAACCTAAACTTATGAGACATTGAATAAAATTTATAGCGCCGTCTAGGCACCGAGGACGTAAGCACATTGCCGAACCTCGTTAAAATTCTTGTGTTATTTCGTTTTCTTTACCCGATTCTTCAACAATATGAGGCCGTTAACGAGCCTTACAATTGTAGCAGCTGAAGATGAAAGTCTCAAGGTGCCAGTTCAGTCAATGGTTGGAACTAATGGCGAGTGGATGTAGGAAAATTTTCGGCGTTTTCTTCCTGACACTGCTTTATTAAACATTGTGAGTATTAAGCCTCCCATTTATATGGGCATTGATGATATACCGGGCTGGAAATGGGATAAGAATAGAAGGTTTTTCAGTCAAATCTGCACACGATCTTTGTGCCGGTTTAATATGTGAGAATATAGAAAATCTATGAAATTCAATATATTCAATGTGTTATCTAGGGACTAGGATTACAATGTAACTTAAAGATTTTATTATTTTTCTTCTGGTACTTTTTGAACAATTTTAGAGAATTGGAGAGGGAGTGGGGAACCTATATACAATTGTTTACAGTTGCTTCAGCAGGTAAAATGGGTACAAAATCAACGAAGAGTCCCCACTGACTTTTTATATGTGTACCATTTCGCAATCAACAGAAACGCTCCTAAATTCAGCACACTCAGCACTGCTAAGAGCCAGAAAAAGTAATGAATATGGCCATAATTTAAGTTGTCAGGTATCCAACCCAGCTTTCCGTTCCTAGAAGTTATACTGGTAACAATAGTGACGAGCAGAGAGCTCAAGTAGTTACCGAGTGCAATGGTAGTGAGTTGTAGAGCCGAGCAGAAACTCCTCATGGCATCCGGTGCTTGCTCGTAGAAAAATTCCAACTGTCCGATCAGCGTGAAAACCTCTGCACATCCTATGAGAAAATATTGTGGAACTTGCCAAAAGATTGTCATCGGCATTTCCTTAACCTCATAGTAATTGTGCCTCCTCACTTGTCGGAGTCTTTCAAGTTCCAGAATTGCTGCCACTACCATGGCGAATATTGATATGAAGAGGCCAATGCCCATCCGCTGAAGTTGAGTTAGGCCATTCTTGTGACCGGTGCATTTTCTAGTCACTGGGACGATGATTCTGTCATACATTGGCACCCAAAAGATCACACTGAGGGTGTCGAATATCGAAAGCGATGCTGGTGGGATCTTGAAAGTAGAATTGCCAACGTGAGTATTCATTCTTTCACCTTGCAACACATATAAATTGCTCATCTGACTGTAGACAGCAGCAAAGATGATCCCGGTAGCCCATATGGGAAGCAGGCGAATTATGGCTTTTAGCTCCTCTACTTGAGTAACTGTACAAAGTCTCCATGGGTTTACTGTACCCTTTTTGTGGTCTGATTCAGTTTCCACAGCTGCTTTGTCAAAGAAACTGAAAGATTACAATAGCTGCTTAGAGCATGAACATGAAAAACCAAAAGAAAAACATGCACTTGGCAGTAAAGTATATCTATCTATCTAATTCTACATGCATGCTGAAATTCTGAAGTTGAAACTAATTTGAGGATTGTAGGTAATACTTAAGTAAAAAGTTAATGAAGAATGAACAATATTTTCCTATTTATTAGAAGTGACTGTAACCAATTGGATGCTTGAAATCGATATTTGGGCACTAACCTAAGATCTTGTGTGTGCTCGACCTTCCTGCTTCCCCTGATATTGGATTCAGCATCCGCAGTCTCGTACAGAAGTGACTTATCAGCAGGAATGGATACTCGTAGTTTCCTGAAGGATGCAACCACCACCTGACAGAGGCGCATGAGAGGGCTGCCTCCAGGCTTTTGGTTCCGGTATAAACGAGTACCTGAAAAGAAAAATGCAACAGCAATTGCCATAGCGATGGCAGGAATTCCGAAACCCCATCCCCAACTGACATTATCCTGTACCCAGACCAGCACAGAAGAAGCAATCAGAGCACCAATATTAATGGAAAAATAAAACCAGTTAAAGAAAGAGCTTTTGTGTTTCTTCTCGGCTTCATCGGTGTCATCAAACTGATCAGCTCCATATGATGAGACACAAGGCTTTATTCCTCCTGTTCCCAGTGCAACCATGTAAAGTGCTACAAAGAAGACAGCACTTTGTGTCACGGTCGGGTCGCAGTTATCTTCTGCGTAACACCTTGGCCTGATTCCATGTACCGTTGCAGACAGTGCCAGAAGTGTCATTCCCTGTATGAAAACATAAATGATTTATGATATTTGTGAAGATAATGATTTCTGGGGAAAAAAAAAAGTTTGCTTCACATTACAGGTGAAGATTTTTAACTTTGGTACTGATGAAAATTGATGATTCTAGACCAAGCCGATGCAGGGTACCATTTTCCTTTCTATTCTTCTATTTATACTATATGAGCATAGGCCTTAACATTGAACTGATAAACTTTTAATCTGTTCTACAAGAATTCTGCAGTACAAGTGTAAAACCCCGTTTCAGGACATCGCCCTACGAATCAGGACTTGGTCTTTGTTATCGTGTTTATTGTCTTCTGTGTTGTGAAAGATGAGAGGTCCGAAGTATCATCTTCAGGGGCAGATGTGTGGCCAAAAAGATAACAAAACCTTTGATGCGAGCCATGCATGGGTGACAGCCAAATCCTGGTGTAAGGGTGACATCCTGAAACCAGGTAGCCATGCAAAACACAATTATAAGCAAACTATATCTTTTTCATGTGACTGCAACTTACGAATACATAAACGATCGAGAAAAGGGCGATTGTCCAGTATCTTCCCAGGTAAGCATCCGCCAGAAATGCTCCGATCAACGGTGTGATGTAGCATGTCCCACTCCAGTTCTGGTTATTTCGAGTAGCAACGGAACTATGCTGATTGAGTCGATGCTTGAAGTAGCGCACCAGGTTGCTGCTCATCCCATAGTAGGCCAACCTTTCACAACATTCATTTCCTGTAGATTAAAAGTTAAATTATAAGAAAATCCATCTTTGACTTTACACATTAACAATATAGAAGTGGTTGATTTTATACATTACCAATAATAAAGGGGCATGCTTTCCAGGTTCCTGTTCTCTTTCTATTTGCAGGGTTTCCCTGGTAATCCACTGTTCCATCTTTCGAGTAAAAATCACTTTCAGCCATGATTTCCCAGAGCCTTATCTTTGCAAGAACTTGAAGATGAAACCTATATTTACTCGAAAAATAATAGCCATTAGCTGCAGTTAACAACAAAGTACAGAGAATCCAACATACAAAAATTAGGACAGACACAAAATTTTATGTTGAGAGTACAAACTTATAAAATTTCAAGAATCATCAATAAAAAATATATAAATAATATCTAAATTATCTAAAGATTTAAAACTTTCAGAGACAACGACCCGTCAGCTCCCTAGTTCCATCTCTGACTGCATGTTTTCAGTTCTTCTGCCCCATGGATGCAAATCAATGTAAATCAATTCAGGAATAAAACCAAGAACCCTAAACAAAAAAAAAACATTTAACAACTTGGGGTAAACAAGACGGCCTTATCAGCACCGAATACTCACCTTGATATATGAAAACCAAGTTTCTGAACTTACAAACAAAGAGAAGATAAACTTGTCCGAATTCAACACAAAAGCCAAGCTAAAATAGAATTAATGTTGCAGTATAAAGTACAAACCTGAGTCCGATCCTAAGCTGTGTGCAGTGGTGAATCCAGGAGCAGAAAAATATTAGGCGTGTACAAGAATGATACGAAAACTTGAAGCAGGTTCTTATTATTGATTTTATAAAAACCCCAGGGTCTTCGTCAAGTTGCGTTAGCCAGCTGAACTGGATAGTGGTTTTTGACTAATTTGCGTTTAATAATGATGAACCGATGGAAAGCAGTAATTTGTAGCCTTATTGGTTTGGCTGTTTTAGTGCATTAACTGAATGTGCTTGTCTTGTAGTTGTAATGAACTAATACAGAGAAAGCAGGCCGGGGAGATGCTTAAGAGTTAAGAGTCGAAATTTCTAAAGACCAAATTCTATATTATCCACTTTTATAAATTATTTTAAAATAATTTAATAATATCTTGTATATCTTATTTTTTAAACTTTTATTATTTATATTCTTAATTATTTAGAACTTATATTAGATTAATATTTTTTAAATTAATCAAAATAATTTGATGTGTTTATTTATACTTTTTCTGCAATTAAATCAATATTATACTTTTAATTTTTTTATTATGTAAAACAACTTCATATTTTAAATAAACCTTAGGGTGCATTTGGTTCACGGAATATAAGATTACCAGTGGAAATAAAAGATTATCAGGGAATAGAATTACTGGGAATGTTGTATTTTGTGTTTGGTTGGTTTAGCAGGAATGTAAGATTACCGTGTTTGGTTAAATGAATAAAATATTATTAGAATGTATATTTGAGCAAATTGTCTTTATTATATATTTGTATAATATTACAAATTGTAAAATATTTATATATTTTCTTTAAAAAATTAAATTCATAATATTTATATAATTTTTTTTACAAAATTAAAAACATAAAAAATGTTTAATGAAAGGGTAAAAAAAATTTTAACCCCTGAACTTCATATAAAATTTTAATTATAGACTTTTTTTGTAAATCTAAAATAATTTAAGGATAAATTTGTAATTTAACATTCGTAGAATTTTTATTATTCAATGACAGAAGAATGATATTTTTGAAAAAAAAATAAAAATTTAAGGGCATTTTAGTCCAAAACATCGGTAATGTTACAATACCTAAGGGAAGGGAGGTAATGACATTCCCGGTAATATACCCAAAAAAATCTACTATTGATAATAAAACATTATCGGGAATGAGATTCCGGGCCAACCAAACATGGGAATGTGAGATTCCCATCCCATGAGAATCCCACAATCCTTGAACCAAACACCCCCTTAGAGTTCTCGAGACTTCTTATCTATGTAAAATATTTTTGTGTGTGGATATTATAGATATTTTGATGTGCTCATTACTACAATTAAATAAACATTATATTTTTATTTTGTTATTATATATAGCTATATATTTTAATCTGACGTTAAAATCTATAAATAGATGAAAGATTGGTGCCATATTCGTAAAATTAAATAAATATATTAAGATATTGAAATAATGGTAAATAGTTTTTTTAACTTTTACGTATGTTGTTATTTTTTCAGATTATGTTTATTTAGTTATCTTACTGGTTTATTATTTCTTTGAATTTTTAGATTAGATATTCATTGTAACCCTATAGATTTTGTCTGGACGTTATGACTAAGTCTAGACGGTTACATATTGTATTCAGAATTTTTTTTATATATTTAAAACAATGATAAAATTCATATAATAGTATAATATATAATTAGTCATAAGAAATTCATACGATAAATATATATATATATATATATATATATCAGAAAACCATACAAAACAAAATATCGGTAAAACAAATATACCAAGACAATAATAAAAACACATGTCACCAAAATATAATTAAAGACATATAGAGATATACAATGGGACAAAAATAAAAGTACTGGAACTCCTGATGCCAAGTCTGCTAGTCTACGTTCTGTTACTATCTGAAAAGGTTAAAATTTACATAATGATCTAAAAATCTCAATGTGCTCCTTATGGTGTATAAAAACATACAGATAAAATACTTCAATAAAAAATAATTCGTCAAACATGTTTTAAAAATATGAACACTACCCCATCAGATCATCAGAATGTGTAGGTTCCCAGAACCACACACCCACATGTACACCCTGTAAGGACCTTATATGTAATTACCAATTTTCATCCCTAATAACAGGCCCAAGATTCGACCTGAATCCAACCCGGAACTGACCCGACCCGGTAGAATACCGTTTTCTTATCCTCCACTGAATTCCAGCTAGATCCACCAATAAAAACATAATAATATCAATAGTTTTTATTTTCATCATTATGTTTCAAGTAAAAGAAAAAGAAAAAAGAAAAAGAAAAAAAATCATAATGATTTAAATTATTTTGTTTAAAGAAAAAGAAAGAAGAAAAAAATGAATCATGTTGTAAAATCGAGTTATATAACCCGAAGCAAAAATGAAAGAAGGGGGACTCTCCAAATTGAAAAAAAAAAAGCAATAAAAGGACGGAATTTTTGAGTAATTTTGAAGGTATTTTATTATTTATTTTATTAGTTCGAAAAAAAATCTGATCTTGCATGTGTAAATAAAACAATAGAAGGAGAGTGATGAGATTTTTACCTTAGAAGAGTGCCGATCAGGTTGATTTATAGTCACCGGAGTATTTGAGCACCGAAGGATGGGGGTTCCATTCCCTTTTGAAAAAATCAATAAGAAGCAGAAAAAATGTTCAAATATTTTTCTGATATTTTTATTTTTTTATTAACTTTCAAAAATAAAAAAAATATAACAAAAATGAGAGTACCTTACGTTCTGTCGAAGCCTCATCGGCGTTTAGAGGATCGGTTCACAGATCCGAACGGTGAGAAGGAGCGTCTCGAGGAGAGGAACAACATACTGAAATTTGGGCCCGATCCAATGGCGGACGGCGGAGATCGGAATCCGAGAAAGTCGAGCAGCCTTTGGGTCATTTCACAATGAGCAGAGCGTCCCTTGACGACACGGAACCCAGATCCGTGACCACCACGTCGATATGAGTCCCCCGGTAAATTTTGGTGGCCAACGACCACAGGAGATGGAGGTGACGCGACGGCCGGAGGCGATCGAGACGAAGGTCGGCGGTGATCGGGATAGTGGCCGGTAGCGAACGACGATCGAACAAAATTTTAGAGAGAATGGAGACCCTCTCTCTAAAAAAATTAAAAACATAAAAATGAAATGTTTTAAAAAAGGAAGAAAGTTTGTATTTATAAAACAATTTCGGGGGAAATCGAGTTTTAGATCCTCCAACAATTCCCGTATTTTACAAAATTGTCATTAGAAGAGATTATTTTTATAATTTTTCATTTTCTGTTTATACTTTAAATTTTTTGGTATAATTTCAGTTTAATCCCCTCACTTTTAGAGTGTTTTTATACTTTAATCATGTGTAGTGACATTTTAATTTTTTCTGAAACTTCGTGGACTGATTTTGCAATTCTGCTGTTTCTGTGCATGTGTTGCTACTTTTTGGGTTATTATCGTTTTAGTCCCCCAAACTTTTCCGTGTTTTTACACTTTGGTCACTCGATCTTTCGTTTCTAATTTATTGCAATTTTATTATTCTGTTTTGTTTTATTTTAATTTAGTCACTGTTAGTTTCTGATTTAGCTACTGTTATTTTAATTTTTGCATTTTGGTCACTGTTTATTTCTGATTTAGTTACTGACTTTTATTTTCTTACATTTTAGTCATCATTATTTTATTTTACTTCGAATTAAGCTTAAATTTTACTTTATTTTAATTTAGCCCCTTTGCATGTTCAATTTGTTATTTTTTGGATTGGTAATTTTATATTCATGCAATTAGATCTTTATATTATATGTTTATTTTAATTTATTTTATGTTGTTTTTATTTTACTGTTTTTATTTTTTATTTGATATTTTATTTTTTATTCAAGCTTAGAAATTAGGACTTCACACTAGTTTTAATTAGGGAGTAATTCGAGACGAGTTTTCGCATGAGATGTCCGATTACTCGAATCAATTGCTCGACTTTTAATTTATTAATAATTAATATGTTCTAAAAAAACTTTAGGTTTAATAATTTAGATTAATTAGGTTTTTAAATAATCATCGATTTTAGAAATTTTTGATTTAGGTCCTTAAACTTTTAAATCTTTTAGAGTCCGATATTTAGTTCTCTGACCTTTTTAGTCCCTGAATTTCTATTAGAATTTGACATAATTAAATAGGTTAAAGTAGAGCCTCCACTTTTAGCATAGATTTCAAACTAGTCTTTTAATTTAGAGGATAATTCGAGTTGGCCCTCGCGTAAACGCTCGAGGGACCATCTCAGTTATTTGATTCAATAATTAATTAAATTGAAATAGGATTAATATTAGAGCCTACGTTTTTAGACTTAAACCCCTAGGTTCTTTAATTTTCATAATTTGTCACTGTAAGTTAGAAAATGCCTTAATTTACTTTAGATTAATTAAGATAAATAAAATTTTGCTTGATTGCTTTGTTTTTATAAATCTAAGGCATTGTTCACTTATTAAGGAATTAATAGTATATCTCATGCGATCGTGCCCAGGGGTTGACTACTGGTAATTCCCTGAATAAGTCGACATCTTTTTCAAAACCATATCATGTTTTCTAAAAAGTGAGGCAATGTTCGGTTATTAGACACAATAGTTGATCTCCCGCATTTACGCTCGGGGGCGAATGCTATCGGTCTCAATAAACGAATACCCTTTTCAAACTCTGTTTCCTTAATGATTTTTAAATTAAATAAAGATCGAACTCAAAATTTCTAATTTTAAATACAGGGTAATCAACTAGGTACCAATGTTTGGGTGCTTGTGGGGGTGTTAATCCTTCCCCATGCGTAACCGACTTCCGAACTTGTTTTTTGGATTTTTTTGTAGACCCCAAAACTCGGTATAATAAAATGTTTTATTAAAATCACATGGTTTTTACGGTGTTCCAATCTCACCTTAAATGATTGGTTGCGACTCCTTACATTTCGAAACGATTTTCAAAGAGAAAACCCCCGAGTTGGTATCGGTCTTTCCCCGCCTGGGTGAAAAACGGTGTCAACATTATACATATAGCATAAGGACATGCGGTAAGGACTTTCCCTGTGCACAAAGCA